AATTTCCAGTATTCAGAGCATACATTTAATGGAGGCTGAACAGAGGGCTTCCAAACAGAAAACACTTAAACTCATAAAATTCCTGAGTAACAAATTGCTCAAATTTGGAACACGACCCACGGAAAATATCATACATACCTGACCTATTCTTGTGCTCTTTCATTGTGACAGAGAGATACTCCAGATATGTCCACAAAACGTTTACTCCATTACATGTTTCAGAAAGTTTTCCTCCAAGAGAGAAAACCAGCCTCACCTGACTGACCATGGGAGAACTGTCTAAAAATTCTTCCTACTGCCTTAAGGTCTACAGTGAGCAAGCAATCTAATTGGAGAAATCTCTAAATAATTTTAAGTATTTTGTCAGCTTTCACAGAGCAAAAATCAGAACTGTTCTTGCAATTGGAAATGGAGGGTTTTTCCTCATCCCAAACCTACCAGTTAAAATTGATGTGCAAAAGATACTTTACCCACGTCCTCAAAAATCATTCCCCCACCCCTCAAAGAAAAAAATTAGGGGAAAAAATAAAAATCACACAACTCGAAACAATCACAGAAAAGCTTAAATCTTGACCTACATGCCAATACAATATTCCTGTATTTTTATGCTAATTGCCCAAACTCCTTCAGTTCATTTTAAACTTTTTCAGTGTCTTCTTCCTCTTACATAAACCTGAAGTTATCCTATTTGTCCCATACCTCTGCATCAGTTGACAATCACCATTCTCCTTGAATTACTGTCCCGTCTCAACAACCAGGTATGTGTCTACTTCTGTTTATCTGCATGAGCACTGTCTTATGTCCCTTTTTTTTCCCTCTGCATGCACATTCAATCATACAACTTGGAAAAAAAAAAATCCTAATCCACACCACAACTAAGAATGCCCAAGGCTGTGTTCCCTGTCAGCTCCATGCATTCTTTCAGAAATCTCACCAGTAAATATCAATTACTTCCATTCGAGACTACCTCCCTTCCACCAAAACCAAATCTTAGCATATAACATAATTTCTCAGATTTCTGGCAACCAGCAGGAGATCAGAGTTTTTATACTTCCCTTCCACCTCCAAAAGCTCTCCCTTAATTAGCAGATTTGTTACTAGGCACACCACAGACATTCAGATTCCTAACCCAAACAAGCTTGAAAATAGTATTTCCCAAAATTGTGCCACTGCTTGGATAAGCCTCATCAACTTGTTCTACAAAACAGCTTTTCATCTCAGGTAGACTTGCACCATCTTCTATTTTTATGATTTCAGCATCCTTCTCTCTGGCCTAGAACAAAATGAACAAACCCACCTGCAGACTTATCTGAGCGACATTTATGTGGAATGCTTCTCCAAAGGATGTGTGAATTGCCAGCTGAACAAAGCCAGTAAGGAAAGAAGTACAGTTTCCCTCTCTGCATTATAGAGGATAAAATTACCCCAGTACAGAGAAGAAAAAACAAATCTGTTGTTTCTTCTAGGAAGTTGTTCACAGAACAAAACTTCTCTTCATCCCTTTCCAGGACCAGGACAAGGAAAACAATCTTTTATTTCTGACACTACTTATTCACTGATTCCCCTCCAGCTAACCGAGCCAACTATTTGGTTTTGCTTTAAAAAAAAAAAGTTACTTTTGAACCCTGTCCTGTAGCCAGATGAATCAAAATGCTGACTTCAAATGATCAGCAGCAGTAGGCTCTGTCTGACACAGACCCGTCAGGCTTTCAAACAAGCACCTTCACACCTTAGGGAAAGGGTTTGTCCAACCTCTGCCTTATCATGACACACACAAAGAAACTTCCCCTTAGCACCACAATTACTTACACTGAACACCATGGTCTCATTTCTTTGCACTCCACCAGTTTCCTTAAATTATATTTTGAACTGGAGTCAGCTCCAACAGATGTATTTGCTTGATCCTACACAAACAATAACACGTAGAGAACTCTCAACTAACAAGGCAGTTGCTAGTCAAAAATTTAAGATATGCAAGCAACTCCCCCAATTCCCTGCATTTTTAGCAGCTCTAAACAAATAGCAGAAGGCTGTTGTAGTACTTGGGGCTGCTTCAGAGTGATCAAAGAAAAATAACGAGGTTGGCTCTCCATTACCAACTCAATTCCATTCACTTTAAGTCAGTTTAAGAAATGTCATGGCATTCCCAGACCAAAAATAGACTCCTTAAGATCTGACAACATTTCTCCCCTCCTGAAGTGAATTAGAAATAGAGACTGAAATTATTGTTACGATATTAACAAGATTTTCTTTCAGAAGTAGATATTAATTGAAAGCAATTTAGGTTGAGGTGGGGAGGAGACTGGTGTGACGCTGCAACTTTAACACTATCTCTCCCAGCCACCTGCTTGATTGTAGAACACATCAGCCTTGCTTTAACAGCCATATGAAATGGGAACTAGGGCAAGGCAAAGGCTCCAATGGCAGGTACCACATATTTTCACAAGGAAGCTCCTTCCTGCTTCAACCCATCACAAGCCACCCTGTATACCTTAGCATCCTGAACTAACAACCTAGCTACATAAGCAAATGGCTCAGTTAATGGGCACAAGTGAGACACAACCAGTCTGCTTTAAAAGCCAAAGGTTATAAAGGAAGACAAACATGTGCAACACTTCTCAATCCACTGAGAGAATAAAGGAAGCAGTCTCAGTGTTCACTGAAAAATGCTGGATGCTTTTTTAGGTTAGTGACCGATCATCTGACTGCTGGCTATTAAAACTGCACTGTGGATCACAGAATCTTATATTGTGGCATCCAAAACTGCACACAGTTCTCAAGGTGAGGCCACACTTGAGTAGAGGAGGAGAATCACCGCTTCCAACTAATTAGTGATGCTGTGCTTGATGCACCCCAGGATTCAGTAAGCTGCTGCAGTTCCTTCTGGATTGTGATTGCTCCTGGCATTTCCTTAGTTTCCAACAGATATATGTAGGACCAATAAATACTGAAAACAAAGGAATTACATTAAGAGTCGCCATACAAGAATTTCCTAACTTTCTCAATAAAATGTTCACTGGTTCAAGTTTCAGAGAAATGAACTTCAGCTAACAAGGCCAATAACCCCTACACTCAAGAGCTCCTATAAGCACCATTTCTCAACTCTAAACCAGAGATACTTTACTAGTATACAAAAAGAAAATAAGAAAACTAAGTTCAACTTAGTAACACAACTTGATCCAAGCGGTGTGTAAAACTGAAATAAAAAGAACCAAAGCAAGCTGGAAATTAGCTGCAGAGCTGGACCTGTAAGGCAAATAGTGTTAATCCTTCACTAGAAAGCTGGGGACAGAAGCAAGAGCCTCTCCCTGACTACACCCAAGTTAAACCACACTTGCCTCCCATAGCCCAGAAAGAGCATCTAGTGCTGCAAAAAACAAAACAGGATTGAGGAGGAGGTAAAAAGGGAGAGACAAAGAAGCAGAACAAGAGTATGGCAGATGAGGGGGAAGGAATAAGAGTAAAATTACACTATGTGGGTTAGAGGACAGGAGAACACAGAGACAAAATAGGTCATACACAGAACAGTGCAGGAAGTGATGTGCTGTGATCATTTACAGCAAAGAAATAAAACCAACTTATGAGCCCCATGAGAGGGGCTGCAAATAGCCAGACAGGGTGGGACAGAACACATGAAGAAAGCAGACTCCCTCCAAAATCCAGGACCTTCTCTCCAGACTTCACTCTGTGGGTAGTACTGCGTGCTTAGACTTTCCTCAACAGGCACACAACAGAATCACCTGGCTTTACACTGTACATTCTGGACAGTGGTCACAGGCTACATTAAACTCCCACTCTCTAAGTCAAAACCCAAATATTACTTTCCATCTTCAGCAATATCTTGAACAATTAAACAATACTAAAAAAAAAAAAAAAAAGTCAGGTGAAAACAACTGCCCTCCAATGCTGTTTCCATCTCAAGTCTTTTGCTCAGTGAGGTGGGGGAAGGGTGAGGACATGGTCCAACACCCAGAACTACTCAGTTGATGTTTTCTTCTTTTTACCAGCAACTCAAATTCAAAGACAGTAACAACCCAGAGATAGCTGACACCTGACTTGACTGCTGCAAAATGTCCTGATTTGACATGGACAATTCTTGTCCATTCATTTCCCACCTTCTCTGGAAACACTGCTCCCCTGCTAAATTTGGATTATGTACCACCTTGCGAAACAGAGCCTAAACTATGTCTTGTCACTAATTTAATGTACGACAGTTTGGAGTGTATTGTTCTAAAGGACATATCAAGGCTCTTCAGTTGGCAGCTCTAAATGGATCAAAAAAATCCCTTCTCTAGCAGCAAAAAGTGAACTACTCTTCCATGACAACAGAAATCTGTAACTGTAACACTGATAAACACCAGGTTTCAAGCAGTTTGTGGGCAACACTTCTTGAGCCCTCTAATTGCAACTATGTCCCTCCCCTAATCAGTTCTCTACACAAGACCTGAAAGGATCACCATGGTCTCCACACAAACGCTCACCACAGTGAGTGGGCAGGAAAAAACAGAAGGAAAAAAACCCCAAGAAATGCTGCATAGCCTAAGTTGCAAGAGGCTGGTTCTTGCTCTAAAGCATTCAATGCTTCTAGTAACTCTGACAACATAGAAAACACTTCCTCCATCTTGTCCTGTTAAACTAATCAATAGTTTTGTGTAAGACAAGAAATAGAGCTTATTGTCCCTTTCTAACTACTGTAAAATGGTAAAATACTATTTATCCAATAAAACTGACTTGAGAAAATATTTCTTGAGGTATCTTCATAGTTACAAAACTCCTGAAAATTTTGTATTCTATATTATTGCTATAATGAGCTTTTTTGAGTTAATCCTGCCAAAAACACTCAACAGATCAAAACAACAGAGTGCAGCAGAGCACTGTGATCATGATACTTCTGACCTCCACCCAGGTATATTTCAGCTCTGAAATTAACTTTTGTATACAGAGGGAGAGAGATACAGGAAATATTGAGGTTACAAGTATGTGAATAGAAACTGACTCACCACAGTCCTTTGCTTGTTGGGCAGGAAGACTCTAACGATGGGCTTCTGTGGAGACTTAGGGTTATTCCGTGACATATCAGCAGGGTTTTGATACACTGAAAGGGATGAAGGTGCTACAGAGAGGCTAGAGGAGGAAGATGATGCAACTGTGTCTGTTGAAGCTGAACTGGAAACAGAGAAATCAGTTCCATTCCCCATGGATTCCAGTAACTGCTGTTCTCTCTGCTGTAGAGCATCAAGCTTGCTGGTGTACTCTTCATAGGCCTGTGAAAGAACAGCAGCTGTTTTAATCATGTAGTAGCCTCAGACAAAACCAGAAATGTAAATTCTGATGAAACGTGAAACAAAACACTTCCTAAACTAATACAAATTTCCAAAGAATATGAACAAAGTGGTCAGGTCAAATTTTTCAGGATACAATGAAGAACATCATGTTAAACCTTCTGAACCATCAAGTAATGTTTTAATACATTAAATTAAGAAAAGGACAGAAGAAATCCTAAGTTAGTGTTTCAAAGCACCTGCACTGAAGATTCCAATTCACAACCACTTAAAAAAAGACAGAAGTCTTTAACCAATATTGTCAGCTGCAATGCTGAATTACTGAGCTCCAGATAAATTTATCATTCTGTTGGAATGACAGTTAAATACTTCTAATGCAATAATTAAGAGAAAGCTCAAACCTGCTTTTTAGGATCCGTATCTGATTCCTCACTGTTCACTATCCTTCACCTCTGGCACTATCCTTTCATATCAAATAGTACAAAAAATGTTTTTCTGTTAGAACACAACAAAGTTTGCCCACTTCAAAGCCATCCATAAACATATAAAAGTGATACTTGGAAAGTTTTTTAACATTTTTTCAGCATGTTTACACAAAACCCGCTTACATAGATCAAGTTTCTTAAGCAAACAAAAACGTCAATAATATTAAATTTGCCCATTAAGTCTTTATGAAATGCAGTCAAACTACACATTACTGCCAAGATCTATAAAACAAATATATAATAGGTATATATTTTTCTTTAAAGTTTGTTATGCACAACTTTGCAACAAGAAAATTCTGATTGATATCAAATACTAGAACAATTTCTTCAGTATATAAATTAGCAGATTATCTTCAAAAATCTGAATCAGTTAAGCAACATGTGTTTCACACTACAGAAGCATGTCATTGTTAACTGACATATTTAGACCTTGTTTAGATCTTTACAGAAAAGAATAAACAAAGATCTTCCAAACCTAACATGTAAGCAGTAGGGAATGGAATTTCCTAATTTCTCTACAGCAAGAGCAAGATCCATACCAACATGCATAAATTCTTCAGTGATATTTTCCAGTACATTTACACAAAAGAAAAATACTTTCTGGTTCTGTTGTTGTTTTTTTTTGTTTTTTTTTTTTTTAATTGCTTATTTTACTTGCTTTCCTACTTTTTTGTTTATAACTGCTGCTAATTAAAGTTACAGGAGAATTGAATTGACCAAATAGTCTGCAGCATCTACATGTGGAAAAAGATAAATAAAGAGAAAAAACAACCAACATTTAGTAGTGCACCCACAAGTACTACTTTTTATTAGGAATTTATTTCTCCAGGCTATATGTGCAGGCTCACCTGATCCAAACTGCTCTTGCTGTGTAAACAGTGGTTCATCCCTCCCTTTTTAAGAAAGTTTAGCATCCTCCCAGGATGGAGGTGAACATCACAGTTGCAAATTCTAAATGTTATGGGTACCACTTCTGATAAACATACGTTAGTTGCAAGAAACTGAGAATTATTTAATATTTTTTTTAAAAACTGAAGATATCTAGCACTTCACAAATAGACCCCCAACTCTGAGACTTGAAGCCAAAACATCTTCACTCTAACCCAATTGTATTGTCAAAAATAAATTGAAAGACTACCCAACCATAAATAATGGCATTTTTTGGCTGTACAGTAACACGTGTCTCTCCTACTTCCAGAATCAACTTTGCATGTAAACTTGAGTAAAAGCTCCATGTGTCAAGAATTATTTTCAGTAAACAAAAATTAGGAAACAAACTGTTACCATTTCACCAATACTGTTCTAAATACTTACTTCCCTTTCTCATGAACATTGCAAAATATTGTTCAAACACACACAACATTACATTGCTTCCGGACACTCATGGGTTTAGTTCCTTCACAAAATTACACAACTTTCAAAATATTCAATTCTACAATGTTTACACTGGCAGCTTAATCTGTCACTAATGCAAACCAAAGTCAAATGATTTACCTTAAGAGAATAAACAATGAGTATGGAAGGCTGGGAGCTGCAGCTGGCTTTGGGTTCTATACCACTGATTTCTGCAAAAAGCTCTGTATTTTTTCTGAGAACAAAAGCTCTCAAGTACCACACAGTTATTCGGTGTCATAGCAGAAGATCCCACAGTAAAACATAAAGGAACTAGAAATGCATTGCTAGACTTTAAAAACATCTTTCTCTTTTTAAAAAAAATCCTCTTATACGAAGGAGCTACAGTACATGCAGCAGAAACAGAATATCTCCAATAAAATTTCATTTCACAAAGGTTAAGTACTTTGGGGAAACAAAGTTTCATCTGATGATTAACACCAATAGACTTTACAAAGACAACAGCACCAAGTCAAGACAGAAATATTCCACAGAGTTAAATTCAAACATAGTTACATCAGCAAAGCTGACCTATGGCAAGTATTTCTAGCTAAAAGAAAGATCATGTTGCAGATTTGCCTATCAACTACTAAACTGACCTGCAGCAGCACAGCCACTTCAGCAGACAAGCATCAACAGCTACACAAACCTTCACTGTGTCAACTATGAGGTTGGTTTCTGACCATGTTTTTGAAAAACAAACTAAAAAGATTAAAAGTAAGTCTGTATGGAATCAATAACATGAAAAATATTAAGACGAATATTCAAACAAATCATTAAATCAAGGATTCCAAAGGCATTTCAGAAGGAAGAGTACAGGAAATCTAGACTGCAATCCAATCAGTTTACATATTCCCATTAGTAAGTTATGTTCTACATAAAACTTAGATCTTGCTTGATACAGAATAAGAGAGGAAAAAAAGGGTCAGAAGATACCTGCAGAAGTCATCTAGTCCTAACACACATTTAGCACAGAAATAATTTTCTAGTTCAATGAGGTTCCTCAGGGCCTTGCCAAAGCAAGCTTTGCAAGTCTTGGAAAGACGGAGAGCCCACAACCTCTGGGCAGCCAGTTCCAGAGCTCAAACCCCAAACTCATGATGAAGAATTGTCTCTTTTGAAATTAACTGGATGCTCACTATCTGCGACATTGCCCCCTCCCTGTAAGCTGTGCAGGTCTGGGAAGAGTCTGAGTCTTTCATTATGTTGAAAGAGCCCGCAGATTCCTCCTGAAGCTTCTCTTCCCCGTGCTGAACACCACCCCAAAGCAGACACACAATGACTGGATGGGTGTCTCCTCATTTGCTGCTGCAGCCCAGTGTGCAGTTTGCTGCTGGTATTGTGAGTGTGGGTCACTGACAGCTCAGACTGCTCCCAACATGGTGTGAATTTAAAAAGTTTAGTTTCACAAAATATATATTTGAAAAGTTGAACATTAGATTAAAATCCGCACAACTTGTCTATGTGCACATAATCCTATGGCTATCAAAAATAGAACAAAAAGTGAATCTTAATTATACTGCATATCAGTATATTTTCACATCATATAATAGTCTCATATGTGTGATAACACCCCTGATACTTCAACTAAGTAAAATGCAACATGGCCTGATAAGCTGCAAAGTCCAACTAAAGCATTACAAGATGGCATGTTTATATTCAGTGTGCACACATGCCAAAATACAACTACTCTCTTATTCTGCTGTATATATTCTGCAGTTTTAACTGTATATACTCAGGAGCAGCAGCCTTCAAGTTACTTCTTAAATGTTGCAACCTACTGACAAAATCAAAACTGACCTTAGAATTCAACAGAATCTGAGAGATGTTACACAGATGTGCCAAAAGAGTTCTGTTGATGAGGACAAAGGATTTTCTCAAAAATATGCATTTCTTTTCTTACATACCATTTATATTATATTTGAAATTTGTTTTCTTGGGCCATGACTAGGCTATACATTCTAGTGAAATCATCAAAGGAAATAAAAAGCAACTAATCAATTTTTCTTTTAAATTAATCTGTGAGAAACCCAAGTGGCAAGATATGATTTCTTCTTCTTTCTGCCCCCTACTACATCTGGGTAGAACACCAGTCCAAACTCAAGCAGGTAACTGTTTTTGCCATGCCCTCTCTCTTCCTCAATCAAGTTTAGGTAATATACACATATTCCAAGACTCAAAAGCCTAGACTACAGGTTCTGGTCTTTGAAACTGAGATTGTGTTTCTATTTAAAAGATGTCTGACCTTTTAGGCTGTTGATCAAACGCAAATCCCACTAAGTTAAATGGGAGCTGAAGATAGACAGTAACATACGTCAACGATTTCTTCATTTAGTAAGACTCCTAAATCTGTACTTAGTCTAACTTTAGACACTCCAGTTTGGTCCAACATATTTGAACAGCATCTGTTAGGAGCCTGGTAAAAGCCAATCTGAAATTCCCCAGAGGGCCACCAGGTTTCCCAGTGTCTATATGCAGTGTTAGCATTTTCCTGGAATCCCACAGTCTGGAACAACCTGAGATTCATCACCAAGATCTATTTTAGACTGTATTTGCATGCTGTTGCAATAAGCATACTTCAGATCAGCAAAGAGGTAATGTTCTTTAATAAATTAATTTGACCTCCTGCATGGATTCTTCAGATGTACAGGAATAAGAAATTAAATACTCTCCTGATGTTCAATAGCCAAACTCTCAGAACTGAGAACAGCAATGCCTCTGAATAAAACACATTCAGGCAAAGAGAAAGCCAAGAAAAAAATGAAAATCACAGTAGCTAGGGGCAAACATACCTCTACCCCCACAATTTTCATTTTAAATTGCTTCCAAGAGTAGGAGTAAGAAAGAGAATGATTCCTTCAAGACAGTATTAGAAAGCTGACCGAGTTCTAAAACTTATTTTGATAGCACTGTAATTCTATACATTTGCATACTGTTTCATTTTGTGTGGAGTCCAAATTCAAAAAACCAAACCAAACCAAAGAAACCCCAACAGACCAGGCAGCACAGTCTTGGACTGTTAACTGAAGCAACCAACAGGTCCAGAATGCAACCCCATCCCAGACAACAATTTACACACAAATGGGCCAATACTGTTTCAGTTCT